CTCGTCGTCCTCTATAAGAAAGGTCTTATACAATTTTCCCGTACATTCAACGGTTTAGGAGTAATTAAGGCAAAATGAAATTTTTTGCCAAAAGTTCGCCGTTTCGACGCTGGGATGGTCGGATTTTGTCAACATCAATGAAATGCCAAATAATCATACGTAACTTGTTAAATATCGAAGTTAGAAGGAAAACAACTTTTATTTGAAGCATTTTTCTGAAAAATAAAAAATTTTCGTCAGCGTCAATACTTAATTGGACATTTCCTTCTATACTTTTTAGCACGTAGCTATTTATTATTAGCATTATTCTTCCGACGTCTGATTTCTTTTTAATTATAGGAAATGCGTTTTTCTAAGGTACATAAACTGTTGGAATTGACTGTATAGCCAATACATCCTTAATTAGATCGAGAACGTGCGTGTACTTCATAACCAACGCACGCACGTTTATGAAAGTGTGTTCAAACGATGTTTGGAAAAGTTGGGAACCTCTGCGTCGTGCATAATTAAAGACCCATTCCTGACAAGCAATACCGTATGGACAGTGACGATCACTGCTAGAACTTGAAATTCTTGAATATCTCTTGCTGATTTGTTTTATTCTTCGTAATTTTTTTTCGTTACAGAAGAGTACATAAAGTGTTTTGACCGAAAAGCTAGATTAAAATTAGTTTCCCTGTTTCTGTTACAGTCACCCGGAGTGATGCCATTCTACGGCGATGCTGGTGCCGGTTTCCGGCCAGCAGCTGGTTTCGGGAACGCTGTTTGGCACCAGGGAGTTACTCCCGTGGGAGCAGTTGCGGTTGAAACGTCAGCAGCAGCATGGCCACCTCAGCAGTTCATTCAACAAATTCCTGCACCGAATCAGCTCGAAGAGCTGAGGTATCATACCCAATACACCGCTGCCGCGCCGTATCACCCGCAACCAGGTAACTAAGAACCGATTCTTATATCTTTTAAAAAATTCTCATCCAATACACGATGCTCAATTTATCTTCCTTATTTTTTGAAATATAAGAAATATTCATTACCATCGGGGAATAGGGAATAGAACGCAGGACAGAAAAGCGTTGATTCGAGATTGTCCGCGAATGAAGCGAGCGTGGAATGCGATGCACGTAGTAACTGCTCGGGTCTTTGTTTCGCGGATTTGCCGAGGAACGTTTTCGTGGAATCAGCAGCGCGAATTTTCTGATTACAGTCGCATATCAGCAGCAAACTTTCATTACTACGGATCAGTCGGCATTTCAACGAGCCGGGGCGACGGGACAATACACAATCACGGGGCAACCCTCGCCCTTGCCACCGGTCGCCCCACAAACGGTACCATCGACAGCTCAGAGGCCACTAAACGGCCAATTCATGGATCCTGCTGCTACTGCAACTCAATCAGTTGGATATGAAAGGCAGGATTACGTCAATGGCTACCAACAACAGGTACAATTAGAAATGAATCGCATTTAATTAAACTGTGACTTCGTCGAATTACTCTTCCCGAAAGCGAACGAAATGCTAAATTCTATAGAATTACGAAGACAAATTGTATGCAGTATTCATTTATCGTTGAATATATTTTTTAATATGCTTACGGGACAATAGATACTTTTTCTGAATTCATAAATTTCATATTAATAACCGAAGCATCATTGAGAATACCAATTGACAGCGAATTTCAATGTTTTCATAGATGGAATGATGCCTTTTTCCAGGATGTGACGATGGCACCGCCGCCTTCAACTACCCCTACGAGTCGTAGCAGTTCTGTGCACATGGATAATCAGCAACAGCAACAGGCCTCGCAACAGCCGCCGTCGCAACAGCAGCCGCAGCCGACGGACACGCAAGTGAAAGGATTTGCGACGATAGCGGCGAGCAACGTGTCGGGAAACGAGATGCCTGGGTATCCACTTCAACCGGGCCCACAGAGTTTACACAACTCTAACGGATATCCAGGCTATATGGAAATGGGTCAGCAACAAGTACAGAACCATCAATGGCAGTCGCAGCAACAGCAGCAGCAGGTGGCACAGCAGCAGTCCCACCAGCAGCAGCATATGCAGCGGCAGCAACATACGGTGCCCGACGGTAGCCAACGACAATTGTGGTCCGATACCAGTACTGCTACGAAGATGAACAATGTGAGCAACAACATGAACTGGTCCAATGGCACGATGCAGCAACAACAGCAGCAGCAACAGCAACTTCAGCAGCAGCAGCAGCAAAAGTCAGCATCGCAACAACAGCAGGCGAGTATGCAGAGTAACAGTATGAAGGCGCAAGAGCAACAACAACAGAATATGCAGATGCAGGGACAACAGGAGCTACCCAGGCCAGCCAGTCACATGAGCTGGGAGAACGGTAGCGTGAAGGAGAACCCGCACACTCCGCAATCGTGGACTGACAATACGGATGTGACGAACCAACAGCAACAAACTCAGGGAAATTGGTCGCGGCAAAGCCCGAAGCTGAGAGACGCGCAGAATCCGAGATTGACGCCATCTAGTCAACAGCAACAGCCCCAGCACCAAGGGTGGCTGCAGCATTCGCCGAAGTTATCGGATCATCAACAAAATCAGTCGCACCAGAACGCCCGGATGACGCCCTCCGGCCAGCATAGCTGGCAGCAGAGCAGTCCGGAGATGCAACAAAACTCGAGTCAATCCAATCCGAGGCTGACACCCTCTGGTCAACAAATGCAACAACCAGGGACACCTTCGTTACAACAGCAGCAACAACAACAGTGGTCGCAGCAGACGAAACTTGAAAAGAATCCTAGACTAACTCCGTCTAATCAGATGTCCTGGCCGGACACGCCAACTAGTCAACCGAATTGGTCGCCGAGCAGTATGAAGAGCGACAGCAGTCAGCAACCTCAACAACAGTGGCCGGACTCGCAACCGAGTCCGAGAAGGACTCCCGGCCATCAACCGGCCGCGTGGCAATCTCAACCATCCACGCAGGAGAACAAGATGGATAACCAGATGTCTTGGTCGCCTAGCTCCGTGACAGAGAACCAGCCGACTTGGGGTCAACACGCAACCAAGCAAGACATGCAAAACTCCGGGGAAAGAGTGCTCTGGCAGCAGCAGGCGACGGACACTGGAAAACCGAACGGATACTCGGACAACCAAGATGCTCAGGAGAGTAACGTATTTGCTCAATCTAATCGCGTGAATCTGAACAGTCGACTGAAATCGATGATCCTGAATAAGCAACAACAGCAGCAGCAGCAGCATCAACAGCAACAACAGCTGCAACATCAACAACTTCAACAGCAGCAGCAGCAGCAGTCGCAGCATCAAATGAGTCATCAAGAGCAGCAACAACAGCATCATAACATGCATCACTCGATGCAGAGTCAACACGTGAACAGCAATAGCGGATCGAACGGAGATTATCATACCGAGGACAGAATGCGAGACGACAATACGGATAAGTTACAAGAGAAACAGACGGAACAGTATTTGAATCAGTCGAGTATGATCTCGATGGGGCAGTCAAACGAATCCTTGACCGGTAATTTTTTATTGCATAGCCACCACCCTCGGGTCGATAGTTTGCCCGATGGTGGTGGCTTATGGGAATGGTCGGGAGGAGGTAATGGCACGTTGAACAACAGTAGCGAGCTACCTGAAAGTGGTATAACCGTCATCGAGAGCTTTATGAAATTCAGCTCGGAGGAGAAAACCGTTCTAGAGGAACCTGAAAAACAAGAACCATTGCAACATCACCAGCAATCGGAACAACAACAGCAGCAGGAGGATCAGCATTTATGGAAGGAAGGAACCAGCAGTCAAGACAATCAGAGCATCGACGACAAGTCGTTCCAGAAGGATTTATGCATAGACAAACAGCAAACAAACGATAGAATATTTGATCAGTGTGGGAACAATTCAGAGATTGAGAAGAATGAAACTGAAAACAGTGCACCTTTTACGGAAACAACAACGCAACCATCATTAACCAAAAACGATAATGCTAACTATCCAGAGAGTACGGAAAAAACAACGTCGACCGAGCCGATGAACGACTCTAACTGCGACTCCTCGAACATCAAGCAGGAGACCGTTGGAGACTATGGTTGCTCGAGTTCCGACTGCGTTCCATCGCCCGCAGCCTCGTCGAAGAGCGGAAGCTGCGTGACGCAGGAAATCAAGACCGAGCCTGATCAGAGATCGCAGGAAGAAAACACCGAGTACAAATTCCGTGGCGATGGCGGGCCCGCGAAAGTGTCGGCTGGTGTCGGTTCGTGGTGTTGCCGACGAGGTGGCACCGAGCAACCGACTCCGGAACACTTGCGAGAGGGTTGTTGCCAGGGCCTGCAAACGAGGGACGAGATGCTAGCCGACTCAGCGGAGAAGTCCGACGTAAAAACTGAGGGCCCGCAGAGCCCGCGTAGCGGAAGCGGCGTCGGATCGACGACAAAGTTACAAGATCACTTGGAGAAACTGAAAAACAATGTGAGGAGCGAAGTACCCGACTGCGACTGCTTCCCAGCCGACAAATGTGAGTTGCTATTGTGTATTCAGCACGACACTAACATTGAAAGAACACACTGACCACGTTTACACGAAATATAAAAATAATAAATAACTCTCTTAATGAATACTACTGTTAATTCTACTACTGCTATCATTACTATCACTATCACTACTACTGCTACTACTACTACTACTGCTAATATAGCCGGCCGACAAATGTATACATCGAGTCTTGATTCAGTGACCCAAAGAGGAATGCACGTACCTAACTTACCCCCCTTTCCCAGGGGGAATACCTACTACATGCGTGGCATAAATGTTTCCGCTTCTGTTGCTTCCTTTCCGTTGAAACGTCCAGTTTCGTAAGTAAAATGAGGTTCAACTACAAGGTCCACCAGAGCCCGGCTCGTACTACACTCATCTCGGGGCGGCTGCAAGCCTGCCTGACCTACGGAACGATCTTGAAAGAAGAACCGGCCTCAAGGGAAACGCCATTAGATTGGAAAAGGTTGTCTACACTGGAAAGGAGGGGAAAACCACTCAGGGATGTCCTATGGCTAAGTGGGTAAGTATAATTATACGCCAATTTTGCAAAGTTGCAACCGATCGCTTTGAATCGTCCTCTAAATCGTCGCTAAAGATTACTCTGGTCTATTTTTGTGAGGTAATATCAATGATTCATTAGGTAATTCGACGATCCGGTTTGGAAGAGAAGATCCTGACGGTAGTGAAACATCGACAAGGCCACAAATGCCCTACAGCCTGGATCGTTGTATGTATGGTTGCTTGGGAAGGTGTGCCTACTCACGAAGCCGACAAAATTTACTCTCTTCTGACTCACAAGTTGAATCGGTTCGGTCTACCGACGACTAGACGTTGCGGTACGAACGAACCGAGGACATGTGCTTGTCAAGGCCTCGATCCCGACACTTGCGGTGCAAGCTTTTCCTTTGGATGTTCCTGGTCCATGTATTATAATGGTTGCAAATACGCCAGAAGCAAAACCGTCCGCAAATTTCGATTATCAGTACGATCAGAGGTAAGGCATTCTTAATTTACATTTATTTCTTTTTTTATTTTAGAGCGTTGGGACGACATTGAATTATTTTAATATTCCAGGAGCAAGAAGTCGAAGAAAGAATGCACGTCCTAGCAACACTATTATCACCTCTGTATCTCAGCCTTGCACCGGAAGCGTTTAACAATCAGACACAATTCGAACGGGAAGCGAGCGAATGCCGTTTAGGATTCAAACCTGGCCGACCTTTTTCTGGTGTCACAGCATGCATCGACTTTTGTGCACATGCACATCGCGATCTACATAATATGAACAACGGATGCACTGTAGTAAGTAATCTAAAGAAATTTCTAAGTTTTAAACAGCTGTTCAGATGAAGTAAAAATGCAATCTATTGTTTCGTGTCACAGGTGGTCACCATGACGAAACACCGATCCCTATCGAAACCTGATGATGAGCAGCTACATGTACTTCCTCTCTACGTTATGGATTCCACGGACGAGTATGGCTCGAAGGAAGCACAAGATGAGAAGATTCGCAGTGGTGCTATAGAAGTTCTATCCAAGTAAGGAAACTACATCTCGAAACACTAATAATCACGCAGTATTATCATGAAATCATAAATATACTTTTTTTTATATAATTCACAGATATCCTTGTGAAGTGAGAGTTCGGTCAGTTCCTCTACAACCCTGCAGAAGACACGGCAAAAAAAGGAAAGAAGAGGAGCCAGACACGGTAAGCAGCAAAAAAGAGTGCAAAAACGCGAACGAGAAAATAGCAGATCCAAGTCGCGCGCTAGGACATCAAGATCCAAATCGGCCACAAATGAGGGACCCTCAGGTATCTCTGGAAATGGCTTCCATGTTCGAAGGGATGGACGCTCAGTTACAGAGCTCCCAAGTGTCCTCCACCGTTCTGGACAGTCCGGTGTCCATGTATCAAGGTTGGGGTTACCAAAACGAACAGCAATGGGGTAGAAATGGTTGGCTCGATCAACGAAAGAACAACTGGCTGAACCCTTGGAGGGAGTACTCATTTGGTGGCCTGGATAGAGACGCCAAGGTTGATCCGGACAGCACGAGCTTGGACGACAGCAGGCCTAGAAGTAACGTGTCTCAGGATGAACATCGACCGGGTTCGCGAAATTTGCCGAACTCCACTATGGACTCGCCGAGAAATTATGCGCATTCGCCGAGAACTCACCCTAATTCACCAAGGAGTTCTCACTCAGGGACATCGGGAGATGCCAACTACTCGATGTCTCCTAGAGGATACCCACCTACTCCTCAAGATCAAAGGATGACTTCGCCAAGAAGCTCGAACTTCCAAGATGCAGGTTTCGGACAACAAATTCCTACTTCTAAAAGTTATCCGAACATGTACGATGCAAGACAAAGTAACGCGTCCCCGAAGACAAGTTGTGCAAATCTACCAACGAATCGAATGAATCACCATCAAGTGCACAACATTAACAACCTCCGGAACGTCGGCCAGAACTGCGATCACTCGAAATTGCCGTACTCGAAACCTGCGCAAGATTCTAGTCAGCAGAAGTATCCAACCACGCAAAACTACTTAGAGGCTCAGAAGTCGCAGATCGAGCAGCCGTTCATGAACAGAATGCAAGGTCATCCACTATATCCCGCGCAGGCAAGCAGGAATCTCCCGTATCAAGGACAGCACGAGTCGAACGCGCACGTGTTCTCCGGCTCGTCTTCTTGTATAGACAACAATGGTCACAAGACATACGGTGCTTCGAATTCGGATCTCTTACTACGCAGTCCATCGCATCTACCGACGAGCAATCCGTCAAACAATCCTCAAAATTCAGGATCGATTGATCAGAACAGGTACAGAATGCACAAGGGTCCCGAACATAGAAGCCCAGGAATTAATCAAATGTCACCAGCGCCTTCTGATCAAGTGGGAAATTGGAACATGCTTGGTTCTTGGTATCAGGATCAGAATCAACAAGCCTACAACGATCAAATCAATTCCGAGAGAAATCTCCAACAGTCCATGGAGCATCAGAAAACGTACAACTGGAACGACAGGGTACCTCACCCGGATCAATCGAAATCGGGCTGTTGGGAAACACCTTCCGATCCCTCCCCCTTCAGGGTACCAAAGGGAAGACCACCATCGAGAACAGCGTCGAGCCAAAATCCAAATGCAGACAATACATATCAAAATTCTTCCAATAGAACGTTCCTTAAACCTCAAGATCCGACGCGGAGCGGCGCCTACGCGGACAGTCCAAGTACCAGCGCAGCGCAAGCAAGCGGAACAGCGCATCAGGTCAATCAACGGAGGCCTGAGTGGCAAGAGGATAAATCCAAGACGGGATATCGCGAATCGAATGTCACACCGAACGCAAACTCGAACTGCTTCCCGTGGACGGAAGAGATGAAACAGGTGCAAGACTTTCATCCTGTGCCTGGTCTCGGACATCCTCACACTTCCTTCCCCCAGTATGGACTGTATCCAACGTACCCTGTCTTCGAGAAACCATACTCGAACTCTTGGGAGGGTTACAATTATCATCAATCGTATCCCCATCCCCAAACGCCAGAATATCCGCCTCAGTTTTATCAACAACCAAAGAGAGAAGCCTGCTTCCCTTCATCTCAGTATCCCTATCAAGGAGTTCCTCCGTTTCAGAGTCTGAATCCTGGTTGGCCAAGATGGGACACTCCTCGGTGGGACATCTACGGACCGCCACCCTACTTCCCGGTGTTACCAGAGCCTCCTCCAAAAGCAGAGCCACTTGGTGAGGTGACCGATTATTCGGACAACGAGGATTGCTTCAAGGATTCGCAAATGGGAGGGGTCGCCATCGCCTTGAGCCACGGCAGCGTGCTGTTCGAGTGCGCCAAGCACGAGATGCACGCCACCACAGCACTGAAGAAACCTAATCGTCTGAATCCTACAAGAATTAGCCTGGTCTTCTATCAACACCGTAATCTGAATAGACCCAGACATGGTTGGGATGAATGGGAAGAGAAAATGAGACTCAGAAAATTAGGTGCCGTGACTACCGCCAGCACTACCACCAGTTCGACGACCACTTCGCAACCATTGTCAGGTCCATCGACGCCGACGAGTCCTGCCAGCGCGATGGCCAACGAGAAACCCGCGCCGCTACCACACATACCTAACGTGCCCAATTCACAATTTATGATGAGATCGCCCACTTATACCACGATGACGTGGACCACACTGTTTCCTATGCACCCGTGCATGATAACTGGCCCGTATCAAGAGGGGGGAGCCATCGGATGAGTGATCGTCGAAGGATGCGATTCCAGCCATCGATGACCAAGAAACGTGCCGTGAATTGATCGAGCGAAATCGCTGAGATCTAAGAAGCACGCGTCCCTTGACGTCACTGTTCAACACGCACGCAAAGAGCGTGAAACGAAGCACGAGAATTACAGAAGATTTGACAACAAGAACAAGTGACATATGCAACCAATCATTCCGAGAGAGCGGGTCAATGAGCAAACCGACAAAGAATTAATAGATGAACTTTTTACACTCCAGAAGTGTATAGTTGTTATTGACAAGAAAGACAAGAAGAGACAACACGTTTGCACTGCCATTTTTCTATCTCACGTTTTTACCGGGAATATAATAAACGTAACAGACACGGGGAACGAGGATGAACAGGAAGAGGCGAAAGAGAAAATGAATCCGCAGCAGAAAATACGTCACACATGGGATTTAATTCTAATCGGGGCTTCCCTTTTTATATCAGTCTTTTACATAAATCACAGTAGGGCGTTGCTAACGAAGGATCGAGCAGATCGGAAGATCTTTGATTTTTGGAACATCATTCGAAGATGAAGATGGAAGAGGAATACCTAGGTAGCTGATCGATATAAACGTGTCTATAACAGTTAGAGAAATGCAATCGAGTTTGATGCGATAAATGAATGAACGGCGCAGAAACGCTAGCGATTGACCGCAATCTCTCGCGCGGAGAAGCTTACGATATAGTAGACACGGATAATATTTAGATTAGAATGGAACGAAAATGATATGAAGAAAAAAGGAAAGAGAATTGAGGGAAGAACGAAACGTAATCTGATTGTACATTCTTTTAAACGGTCTCGTGTTGTAGTAGAATTGTAATCGTATTTAGCTAGTCCACGCCTAGACACGACGGGTAGTTGTTTTTCTTTTTGTTCTCTATACGTTTTTCACATGGAGTGGCAAACATGTATGACACGTGCGCGTCTGGCACAATCTTTTTTGTACGAAAACTGGATCAATTTTGTATCAAAGAGTTTAATCGTCGTTTATTTTTCTGCACGTTCTCTTTTTACAACTTCTGTTGTAATTGTTGTTGTTGTTGCATCATCGCACACATACGTACACGCGGCTAAAAATCGTCCATTCAATTAATCGATGCCATCGTAGTAGGTTTTTATCCACCCATTCACCTTATCCAGACATCGAACAGTGTTACGTAGTTTCGAGTCGATCCTTTGTAAAAGTCGCCTGCACAATCTCTAGGCTCGGCATGGAATGCCGGAGCTCGCACATAGACACATATTTACACGTACATACGTATACAGACACGAAAATGATCTCAAGTTTTAAGCTAATCAATTAAACGACAAATATCAACGTTTAATTATTTTCTTCTTTCTTTCTCATACACGTACATTATTATCAATACTTCTCTTCCTTTTTTTTTTTTGTTCGCCTACTGTACATTACGCTTCTTAATCATCGTATTTATTTCGTGACTCAAGTTGCACGTGTTTGCACCCGTAGCTCTATCCTTTAATCGTACCGTCATTTTAAGAAAGATTCGAGTGAGAACGATCGAACGAAGAGGCGGATGTACACGCGATGCGCGGATCGCTGTAGAAATACATTACGTGATACCGGTAATTCTCGGGTCTGTTCAGTACAAACACACACGTATACACTATACACGAGAATTAAGTAAACTAATTTTTAATCGAGATCTGTGAACGAGACGCGAATGGAGACGCGTCGATCGTCGCGTTGCCGTTTTCTTCGTCGGCTATGTTCTTCCGGCTGTTTCTTTTCTAATTCATTGTCCAAGCCCTTTAGAGTCTATACAATCGCGATCCCCGATTTATGGATCGGATTTGCGTATCCAAGGGATCGCGAGCCTTTCGAGAGGCGATCTTCTCGACGAGAGCGAGGAAAACACGCGCACAGAAAGATAGAGAGAGAGAGAGAGAGGGAGAGAAAAAGATCTGTGTAACGTTTCGCGGTAGATCACGGAGGCCGATGAAGCCGGCGAAGTTCGATTTCTTACGTAAGTGCCAGTGTTCGAGGACGAGTAAGAGAGCCAAAAAGCGGAAACGAAAGATGTAAAAGTAAATCTGTGTTAAATCGTCGTTCGAACCGATCCCTGTTTTTCTGTACATAGTCCAGCTACGCGACTGGAGTAGCTACCTCGAAACGTCCATCGCCACTTCCGGCTAGATCTGTTCGCTTTGCTTTCGATTATCCCACTTTCGCTTGTTCTTCGATCGTTCGTGGCTCGATCGATGGATCAATATGAAAAGAGGAGAGAATCAAAAGGATCGTCGCGACGTCGTGCCATTGAACGAGCGAAAGAGGAAGACAGAGGAGGAGAAGATCTTCCTAATTCGAGTAATGATATTTTACGTATCGATACGTTTAATTGGTTTGTGAGTGATCGATCGATCTAGCTTCGACATTGGAACCGAAATCGTCTCCGTTTCTTGCCACGACCACGACTGTCGGATGTATCGGTAACCGGAAGCTCGTTTCTCGCGATTTACGCGTGGGGTCGAAAATAGAATCGAAGAAAGGAAGGAAATTATGGTTGTCGAGGTCGATGGATCGTAAACGATGATCGACAGAGAGAGGCGCTACCACAGGATGAAGGGTGGTAAAAAATAGACGCGTCCAACCCCTCACCCATCCGAGTATTATAAGAATCATTAATATATTATCATTCATTATTATCATAATGTAGTAGTAATAATAATTATTAGCGGCGAACAGTAATAATTAGTAATATAATCTAATTTAATCCGATTATTTATTAAGTTTTGACGAAACGCGTTGATCTATTATATTTTTATTATTATATTTTTCAGCTGCTCTAGCTTCCAGTTTCTTTCTCTTATCTATTCTTTCCTCTTCTCTTTTCTTTCTTATTGATTTCTCGTGATTCGTGACACCGAACAATCGAACGCAGATCGAGAGTGCACACACCGAGCCTTTCCTTTTATCTTATCTTAAACACGTTTTCTCGCTTTTCGTCTAATTGATTTTCTCAATGAATTTTGTAAAAAGAGATTTCAAGCGAGCAATTTCGTTCCTAAGCTCGTATTTTTTAAACGCTAGTCGTATTTTCGATTTTTTATTATTTTTTTTTAATTGCTTTGTTTTTTCTTTTTTGCTTTCGGTATCGTTCTTCAATTTGTTTGAATTTTATTCGCCAAGAGCGTAATCGTTCCATTGTTTTTACGCGGGACTCCAGAATCCCTAGGTTCTAAAAAGATATCGAATAGAAAAAGAGTATAATTAAACTGGACAGTTGGCCGTCGCTAAACACTATTTTTTCGATTCGACGAGCACCGTTTTTCGATCTGCTTCCAGCAAATAAAAATAAACGAAGAATGATCTCAGCCAGTCAATTAAGAATTTCGCAAAGGAGAATAAAGGAATAAAAATTCACGCTAAAATCGCAGAAACACGTTTCTATTTTTTAACCGTTTTAAAAGATTGTTCTAGATAAAAGAAAGTAAGTTAGATTTGCCATCAATTTTTTTATTATTATGAGCAAACGTTTCGATCGCAACACTCTTCTTATTTCGTATATGCGACGAATCATTCGTGAACCGACTTCGCCGAAAATTGTCGGCTTAGTTTATTCGAAGACATCTAATGATTTCGTTGGCAGAGACGGTTCTTTGATGCTCTCGAACGCACGAAGGACGATTAGAAGTACTGCTGTTAGCGTTAATTTAGGAACTATTTGGAATAATAAATAATTGTACATAAGAATAACGATGTCTTAGCATTTGACAAATTTAATTTGAATGAATTTTTAGTGACATCCTTTTAATTAATCGATTTATATCTGTATTTATAACTATTCGTACTTGTTAATAATCTGATGAATTAGATGTTTTAAAATAGAGAGCAATGTTAAAGACAATAGACTTAAGAATTGAAATGATACCAGTGACTGGCATTTGATTTTTTAAATTAGTGATTTTGTTTTTATCTCAATTACGGGAGCGATCGTCAGCCGAGAAAGAACCGTCGTGTCGCGTCGTTCGATACACTCCTGTTCCTTTCACACGTCTCTTTTCTCGATCGCGATCTACGAATCCGCTTATACAGAATGGCGAGGTACACAGGCAAGGTTTTCCTCTCGTCGACTTCCGAATGATGCTCAGTTGCGTGCGTGAGAGAGTTTGAAAGAAGGAAAGACAGAAATGAAGATTAGATTTCGTGGTACGATTTTCCTGAGAATATTTTTTTTAGGTGGGAAAATCGTGCAACGAAGTACCGGTCGAACTTCCAATTGCAAACGATAGACGGAACAGAGAGAACGAAATGAATGGTAGCGGAAAAGGGAAATCGGCTGGTTGTCATTGCTGTTTCTTTTTTTGTACAGAACGCGAGAAGAAAATTGTATCGTCACGATGCCAAAATAGTATTAAATACGGTAAAATAATTAGGGCATAAAACGAGAGGAATCACTAGCTGTCGTATAATTGAATGATTGTCGTGTGGAACGAAAGTGAGAAGCGGTAAGTGAACGAGGAGGACACGTGAACGAGTTCTTTGCCAATTTATAACTTTTTTTTCCGATGGAGGACGGAAGAGAGAGGAGAAATACTTTAGTGTCAACCAGGGCATGATTCGATTACATGTGTGGTGTACGAGCGATGTGGAATGAGAGGAGAAAAGGAAAAGAAGGAAAGAAAGAGGTTGAAAACTGTATTTTTTCTTCCAATACCAAAAAGATGCCATTTTGTTTTGTACGAAAAAATTTACAAAAAAACTCACAAAAAAAGAATAGGAAAGGAGGTGCGTCGGGAGTGTAAGAATGAAATATAACAGAAGGAGGGTTGAAGCGAAGCGCAGGAGAGAACAAACTTTTTAAATAGTATGTAACAAGCGTAATGTAATTGTAATAACGATGCAGAACAAATAACAGAGAAGCAAACAGAAAAATAATAACGTAACAAATATACTTGATGTATATCTGTCTCGTGAGATGAATAATAATATTAATAAAATGAACAAAAAAAAAAATAATAATGAAACCACTTGTCCGCCTTATAAAGCCAGAATACAATAGATAATTGATTGATAAGAATCGACAAAACAAAATAAAAAAATTAAAATAAATTAAAGTATAAACGGTTAATTATATAATGGTAAAGAATACTTCGTAGTGTGCAGTTTACGCAGAGTTCGAGAATGGAAGGAAGATGAATGAAAGGAGGTCGTAAACAAAATCGTAGAGTGTAACGAGTATATTATAACGTACCTAAAGTGTGAAAATCGTGAAACCGCCGCGTATTTATATCTCTCAATTATCAACAAAGAGAAATAAATGAATAAAATATCTATATATAAAAAAAATTAAAGATATATATGTATATGAATAAAAGCAGAAGTGTTTGCATGTATATACAGACTTGTGTATACATACAGGGTGTCTTGAATTGTTAAAAGAGAAATTAAATTCCAAGTGGCTTGGTCAAAGGGTGGAAGTAAGGAAAGAGCGTTGCTCACAATTTTTGCACTTTGGTACCAGAAAACAATATCTCCCCGAGTCCCCCGAAATAGGGCATACGAATATAGCGCTACGTATACACCGGTTACATACATATGTGTACATATATTTTTGGATAAAGAACCCAGATGAAAAAGAAGTGAATTTTAAATCGAAATTGGGGCCATGACGCAGACCACAAGGTTCTCTCGTTGGATTGTTTCTCGACACTGTTTAGAAGCGAATAAACACAAGATATACGAAAATTATAATATAAAACAGCTAATGAAGAAAACATGACTTCTTTACTTTCTTTCATAGCTTAACGCAAAATCGAAAACCTGATATAATTGATCATTTATTTAAAACTTTCATGTTTTCGTTCGATAATCAGCTTTGAGAATTAAAAGAGATCAAACTAAAATATTAAGTTAAAGATTGGGCTGAGAGGTGGTCCGACGGGAGGACATTTCACTTGTGTCGGGCTCAAAATATGTATTTATGAATATTTATTTACGTGAGATTAAATGAAATGAAAAAAAAAAATGATGAAAATGATGAACGGAAGAAAATCTAATATATTGACGATTTAAGATAGATGGTCGTAAGTTTAAGATGTAAGTTTTATAATGAATATATATATATATGAATATAAATATATATATAAATCGATATATATATATTTACTTGTAAAGCGTTTTACTGCCTTTCACCGAGTTCGATCGCGCCAAAAAATGAGCCGAACGAGCGAAAGGAATAGCAAAGCAATGGTGAGCGAAAAAAATAAAAGAAAAGGGTCACTCCGGCTCTGAAATCAATCTAAAGAAGAAAATTAATAAAATCAATCAACGGTGAACGAATGAATAAACGAATGTAGAGGCTTGCGAGAAAAAAAAAGAAATGAATTAACCGAAGAGTGATCTTCGTTTTTGTCGTACCATCGTGGACGTTGACAATGTAACTTATTATTATTACTATTACTACTGTAATATTACTATTATTTTTCTTGTTTTCTTTTTCACTCCATGTTTCTTTAGTTCTCGGTATTACATTTAGGAAGGCGAATACGAAAGAAAATTGTGACGATAAAATGTTTGGCATTGATTGGCGTGCATTTCGATTTGCCGTGCGACGAAATTCACGCGGTTTGATTCAGTGGCAACGCAAACAAATTGAAAAGGAAGGTAAAAAGGCAGGTGTGCTTCTGAACGATGAAAAATCACATGTACACAATTACACGAGCGCGCACACCTACAAGTAATAAGTGAAACAGGGGGGCACACACAGAGACACGAATATACACGCGTACAAACTCTCACACACACAGTATGCTTAGAGTTTAGTAGCGATTTATAGTCGATAAGCGATAGAGTAATTTAAACTGATCATTGCTATCGATGACTATTATTGATATAAGAGTACATTTAGACGAAGAATATGTTATTAAGTAAGATGTAATTGTCCTTTGTGAATATACATAAAAGAGAAATGAGAAATACAAGAAACTTTTATGAGAAAAGGAGACTTAATCATTTTTCATATCCAACCGCGATTTAACTAAATGAAAGAGGACTAATGAGAGACGATGAAATCAACATTTCCTATATTTTTTTCTATTTCGATCAACTGTTGCTATAGGGAACCTTCCATCCAAACATTTGTAAATTAACTTTATTTTATATATCTAAAGAGTATGGCGTTATAGGCGATCAAACCTTAATCACTGGAACATCGATCATAATTAAGAAATACTCTACTCGTATTTTATAGCGTTATTTCGTTGAATTAATTAAAGGCGAGATCTATTTATTAATTTATAATTAGATAATTTCGATACAAAATACCTTGTATTTATTGCATAAAACCCATGTCATTGTGTAATATGATCGTTTATCTTATTTAATGTAATAGAATTACTTTTTGTATAACGTAACAAGGCATACGTATGTGTATAGGATTTGAAAGTGTTCGCAAGTGCGATTTCAGTAAAGTAAAGCAGCAATCATGCATATCATGGTACAATAAAAATGTTGCGTATTTAATATGAGTGTTAAATATAAATCGTACTCACCGAATAACCCTCCAATAACAGCTTCTGATCTTCCTTCTTCTAGATCTCGTACTGCTACACATTTTCAGTAAGTCTTAGCAGTTCTAAATGCACGCACTTAAAAACTATAAAATTACGATTTCAAGATCACTGTGACCCGGTTACTATTATGCACATCACAAATACTTCATTTAGGAACTGCGAAAGCTAAGAAATATCTATTATTACTTTCGCTACAACAAATTAGCAATATTTACATCGAGCACTACCGCACTATCAGTTGAATTGCTGTTGACTGAACTGTAGTCATATTCATGCACTTAAATATACATACGTACAACACGGGTAAGATTTGGCGGGGATTTTTAAATATACCGTATAATTTTAATGAATAAGTATATTTCGATGTATAGTAAAACGCGAACGGATTAGAAGCATAAAATTATGAAAATTCATCCAGCGCGTATATTCATATAAAAATAAATCTGTCTGAAGATACATGAGACAAGTAGAATAAAAATTATTTTATTTTGCCGTGATAAAATTTGTCATATTTGTAGACAGTTCTTTCCTTATAACAATTAATATACATCTCCAATCGTAGCCTTAATAAATATTTACAAGCGTAAATAAAAAGATAAAGCAACTTCTGTATGCAATCGTTATTCATTTATTTTCTTCAACTGGTAATAAATGTAAATCTGGGTTTTGAGATTGTATCACAGTTGAGCTCTGCATCTTGGTTTTTAATCCTAAAATAATATGCCTAATACCAGGTATCCATGCGCTGCATAGAGTGGCATGTTTCATCATTAATGCAATATGTATTTCATCTGCCTTTTCAACGTTCCCCTCTCGTAATGCTGAAAAATAGGTTCATTATTTTCTTCGTAGAATTTCGAAAAATCATCAAAAAGAGGACAAACCTGTAGACAAATCTAAAATGCTTTTACATATCACATTATCCAGTTTATCTTCAAACCATGCTGCTTTCAGTATGTCTAGCCTCTTTTTTACCTCTTCAGCTCTGTTTTTCTCCGAAATATGCTCATTAATAGCAGTCTCCAAATTTGTTAAAACATTATTTAATGTCTCATTCTTATCAATCTGTATCTCACTTGTTTTTTCTTCTATGTTTGATGGTTGAAACATTGGGGCATGCGATGCTGTTGTTAAATTAATAGAAGATTCTATTGGTGGTGGCATATTTAATGGTTTGTTTGAAGGAGTATCTTTATTTGTTGTTTGCGTAGGTGCCAGAGGAAATGCCACCCTCTTGTTTAACAGTCTTTTGGTAGGTGTTACAGAACTTTGTCCACCAGAATATGCCCATTTTGGAGGATCGTTCCATCCTGGATCATGGCCAGGTAACAGACCTTTTTGTAATGAAGCATTTTTATCTATAAAATAATATATCATTCCTGCTTCAAACTGTCAAACTTGTTATCTGTGCAGTGTTATTTACGTTTATTGTAATGCGAAAATAGATAAATATATCGAAATTATAATTACTTGTACCTTCTTCGCTCATCTTTTATTACGATCCTCTTGAAATTTACTTTAACAAAATTGTCAAAAAATGACAGAGTAACACTGGTTAACCCATTCGATACAGATGAGGATGAGGTGCTATAAAATCAGGTGGCGCTTTCGAACATACACATTGTGATAGTGGGGGGACATTTGTGAGAAAGCTGACGCTGACATTCGAAGGGATAGTAATCTGCCCTCGGTCAAGAGAAACAGAAAGGGAAAATAATGATAAATAATTGAAAATAAAATTTGTCATGACAATCTTAACAGATTAGACTTCAATTATTAGACCGTAATCGTTATAAAGTACATTAATAATGCAACCCATAATTAATTATTCAACCGTAGTTAACATGCAACTAAAAATATTGACGGTTTTCATACAAGCGAAGCCAGCGTAGTACAAAATATTACTTTAATTGAAGCTATTGTATAATCGCGAAAACGTGAGACCATGAAATTGTTTCATCCTTTCAACGTTTACGACGAATCATGGTTATTACTGGGTGTAATTAAACTTTTAGGTAACGTAAGTTTAGGAGTAATTTAGATATTCGTGGAGTTCCTCAAGCAAAATTCGTTTGTAATAACAGAATATTTGAGGACGTATTTTATCAACAGTTTTTCTGTTCACAGGTTTATATCCCATAAAATTTTTTAGAACCATGTATACAGATTACATATACGTGATTATATTATTGATATTGTATGCGAATCTTTATTTATGTCTAAGGAATAACACCAGTGATATGATTAACATATTTCTTCCTCTAAATGAAACATTCATAGTTAGAGTAATTCGATTATACACAAACTTGGTTTTGTTTCCCGTAATGATGATTTCAAGTATACGTCAAAGTTCAAAAATAAAGGAAACATTCGGACAAATTGATTTCATTGACACGAACGTGAAATTTTTAAATACAGAAATCGATCATGTTTTGCCTATGAAATATGATATCGTTATGATTACTAGTACAGTGTTTGCGCAAATAATGTTTAACTTAGTGGATTATTATGGACTATTAGATAATGATTCAAATTATATGTACGTTTTGTGGTGGATATTCAATCAAATACCAGATTTCGTCAATGTTATAATAATATGTTCGTTTGTCGTGTTAATGAGTAAAATTAAATTCAGATTCCGACAAGTAAAGTTGATATTAGATGTTATTACTAAAGGACAGCGTTTTTATTTTATATCCGAGACGACGGATATGAATGAAGGTACGTGTTTCGGTAACTGCTTTTACAAACAGTTTTACGCCAAAACTAATTAGTTTCATTGCAATTTAGATTTTAGATATAAACTTTTGAAGTGGCTCCATTCTGAATTACGCAGAATAGTCTCAGTTCTGAACGAAGCGTATGAATTTCGTTTTAAAATTCTATTATTCGCATACATTTCATATGTCTGTTTTCATATGTGCATTCTATATAAAAATTCTTACGATCCGTATTACGCGATTGATACTATAATAACAGTTTTATGCGGCACATTCGACTTAATTAAACTCGTTTACTTAATTCATCTACACCGCAATCTGACGTTAGAGGTACTTTTAGAAATATTATTGTACATGTATAAGTTTACCATAATTCCATTACTGACTTTTAATTTTACAGTAAATTCGAAGAATAAAGACACGAATGCAGTAGGAACAAATAATTGAAATATGGAGCACAGAACGAGAATTACAATCTTCTTGAATTAAGCGCTTTTGTATATACCAACTGATCAGCTTTAAAATTACAGGACGCGTGTTCTCTCCAATAGCTCTCAATGTTTCACGTGTTAACAAGTAATTATTTAATATATTCACTTGCTACGATTAATTACACAATCCTGTTCTAATAATAAACACATTTTGAAAGTAAAATATTCTTTCTTTTTATATAAATGTCCCTTTCACAATGTTCTAATTTTTTATTATGACGTGTCTCGTCAGCGTGCATTAGGCGCATGCGCAATGCCACCTTACGTGGCATCGGCAGCAGTCACTATTGCAGCGAACGTTTTCTTCATTTAGTGTAAACATTTGTGGAAATATTAACTTTTGTTATGGTTCAAATACGTTTAATGACACAACGTAAGTAGTTTGAATTTCATAGTGATTTCGATTATTTCCCTTCCTGATGTTTCCCGTCCAAGCATTATTATGTACAAAATGGCATGTGCAGTTTTACCATTCTAAAGCAATATTTGATGGTAATTTACTATACAGAGCAAAGGTTCTTAAATGATTAATGCAGACATTTCACGTAGGCAGCCAGTATAATGCACAGTAATTGTATATTTAATTTTGTATAGGTTATCTTCTGTCTGTCAATATGTTACATATTTTGGAAATTACTCATTTATAATAGTCTAATAACCACGTTAGTTAGGAGTTTATATAAGTGTGTTGTAACAGAAGAATGTGTGAAACATTAAGCATGAGATTACAAATAAAAAAATACCCTGAATACATATTTTTATAAATATGAATACTATTAGAAGAATTTAATAGATTTTTCTATAATCTTAGCTTTAAGAAACAATGTAATTATTTCAAAGAAATAGAAGGTATAGAAGAAAACCTATCCTATAAAATGAATTCTTCTTTTTAATTAGGATAAAAAATGAATCCACAATATATACAGCAACAACAGCAGCAGCATAGTTATTTCCCTGGACCTCCAAGTTCAAGTCAATATGGGGAAGTAAATTCTAACGTTCCACCGAATATGTTGAAAGGACCTCCAATGAATTCACAAACTCATGCTTCTCAGAAGCCTGTACCAGGACCTCCCCTTCCTAATTTACATCAGCCTCAAGCACCTTACTATGTAAATAATATACAAACTCAAGGTAATATATAAATTACTTGGATTCTTTTTCTCAAAGTGCTTACTTAAAATTCTCTTGTAATAATATGATTTTACAGGAAATACTCAATATGAATCAACAAATAATCCACATATGCCGCCACCTCCAACAAGTCAAAATAATTTAGTTAATCAAATGACAAGTATGTCTTTGGCTGAAAGACCACCGTCTACGGTAATTATATAAAATATTGTCGCCTATGTTTACAGAGTATTGAATGTATTGCTCTTTAATTTTCATTTTGTGATATAGCAAAACTTTCCTCCGCCACCCTTACCGGGAAAGAGTAGTCCGACGGTATCTGCTTCTTCAAATGTAAATGATTTTAACAATTTGTCAGAAATACCTGCAGTAGGGACTGGTAAGCGTGAAAGTTTAAATAAGGATTACTGTAACCAATGTAATTAAAAACGAGCTAAACTGATGTTATTATGATAGGTTCTACTGGGCAAACTGATCCTGGTGGGAAATCTGGACCGCCTATTCTTGGACCAAATGTGCAAGAGCAAAAGTTAGCACCGAAGCCGACTATATCACAGGCTGCTGGTCTTCCATTCTCAGGGCATTCTACAGGAACTACTTCTAACCAATATTATCCTGGCCAAAATTTACCATCAGAACAAATGTTCAACGCAGGGATGTCTTTCCCGAGTCAACCTGAAGTTGGCCAAGCGAATGCTGCTGACTCATCTGCTCAGTCTAACTTTCCCAGACCACCGACAGAACAGAGATCCATAGCTGCACCGTTACCTGGTTCACGGAATGTTCTTGATCCCAGAATGACACCAGGTCAACAAAATTTACCTGAATCTTCATTGCCAAACCAACAGACTCATAATAATACGCTTATGCAAGGAGTACATGGGCAACCGAACTTCACTGGACCACCGCTTCAAACATCAAAACAGAATTGGTCTGGACCACCATTGCCGACTCAACAAAATTTGTCTGGTCCACCCCTGCCTGGACCACCTTTATCAGGACAATATTATCCCACATCGCAAGGACAACAAAAACTCAGCCATTCTTATCCAGAACCACCGAATGTGACTAATTTGTCTGGTCCTCCAGTAATGAATCAACAAAGCATACATCCACCGATGCCAGGTCAACAAGGAGCTCCTCCGCCTCTGTTAACGAATCAGCAGGGTTTTAACAGGCCACCTTTATTAGGACAACAAAACATGCCTGGTTCACAAATGCCTCCCCTGCCTAGTCAGACGGTAGGACAGATGAACTCTGGTACAAATTTACCACCATCTGGTCAAAGACCATATGCATCTGGACCACCCATGCAAGGGCAGAACATGCGTAGTCCTTTAGGAGTGAGTCGAAATCCAGCTGGTACAATGCCGAGCTATCAGCATGCAGGATATCAAGGCTACAACAACGTAAGCTTGTTTTCAGAACGTAGACATACCAAATGTGCTGCCCGATTACAAGTATCTTCTTATTTTAGGATATGTATAATGCTCAGAGAGGTTCATATCCGGCGCCAGGCGTAACAGGTGGACACCAGCCGGATATGCAATCCCAGCAAGCTAGACGCTTGGATCCTGAACAAATGCCGAGTCCAGTAAGAAATTTTACCAAAGAATTCCGTATATTATTTAAGTTTCTTAACTAATTCCTTTCTATGATTGTCCCTAAAGATTCAAGTGATGCAGGATGATCAACGCGTCAGAAGTGGTGTATTCATAACAAATCAAAAGGGATTGGTTCCACCGTTAGTCACAACTAAATTTGTAACACAAGATCAAGGAAATGCATCTCCTAGATATATCAGATCTACTATGTACACTGTTCCTACCACAGCAGATATTATAAAACAAGTATGTTGACTGTTTTGTAAATGAATCTGTTACTTTAATACTGTACTTATAATAATTTCTGCTTTTAGACGAATGTTCCATTTGGTCTAATATTAAGTCCAATGGCTCGTATGGCAGAAGGAGAATACGAACCACCTATTGTAGATATGGGTGAAATCGGTCCCGTTCGCTGCGTGCGATGCAAAGCGTACATGAGTCCATTTATGCAATTTATCGATGCAGGCAGAAGATTCCAGTGCATGTTTTGTAAAGCGACCACGGAAGGTAAGTGTATATATTTTTATAGTATTTATTTCTTTATTACTGTTAATTCTTTATGGAATTTTAATTTAGTTCCAGCCGAATATTTTCAACATTTGGATCATACTGGCCAGCGCATGGATCGCTATGAGAGACCGGAATTAATGTTGGGAACTTACGAATATGTTGCTACTAAAGATTATTGCAGAGTATGACATGCATTGAAAATGTTATGATTTATATCTTGCAATCGTTTCATTTTGGAATGTTTCTTTCAGAACAATACTTTTCCAAAACCACCAGCTATTGTGTTCGTGATCGACGTATCATACAACACAGTCAAGTCTGGTTTAGTTAATCTACTGTGTACGCAAATGAAGTCAATCTTGCGGCATTTACCTGTTGACTCCGGTCAATCGAAATCAAACATGAAAGTAGGATTTATAACGTACAATAATACGGTGCACTTTTACAACATCAATTCTTGCCTTGCTCAACCACAAATGATGGTTGTCGGAGATATACAAGATGTTTTTATGCCACTTCTCGATGGATTTTTGTGTGACGTTGAAGAGAGCGAGTCTGTTATCGATGGTTTGATGACACAGATACCGGCAATGTTTGCAGAGACTTGCGAAACAGAAACGATTCTTGCACCGGCCATACAAGCTGGATTAGAAGCATTGAAGGTATTTACAATGTAATATAAAATAACAAAATTATCATTACATTCGATTGTTAACGTGCTGAACGACATTTAAGGCGTCGGATTGCGCTGGGAAATTAATGGTTTTCCATTCATCTCTGCCCATTGCCGATGCCCCGGGGAAATTGAAAAATCGTGACGATCGAAAAGTTCTCGGGACAGAAAAAGAGAAAACTGTATTAGGTATTTATTTCGATATTATTCATAAATAACTGCTTTTTAATCATTTGTAATACGAAATGAATTTTCGCTTTCAGCTCCACAAAATAACGTTTACAATAATTTGGGTCAGGAATGTGTAGGCGCAGGATGCTCCGTTGATTTATTTGTTTTCAATAATTCGTACGTGGACATAGCGACGATAGGACAAGTTGCTAGATTGACCGGAGGAGAAGTTTACAAGTACACTTATTTCCAGGTAATGGTCGTAATAATAGCTGAATAGGAAGAATAAAAGATGCTACTAGTGATTTATTCTTTCAGGCTGACATTGATGGTGATCGTTTAATTGCGGATGTAATTAATAATATTAGTAGACCAATTGCCTTTGACGCAATAATGCGTGTGCGTACGTCTACTGGTGTTCGGGCAACTGATTTCTTTGGACACTTCTTTATGTCAAATACAACAGATATGGAATTAGCTAGTATAGATTGTAATAAGGTAAAGTTTTATCATGTATTTAAGTTACTATTTATATGCATTTAAATATGACAATTGATTTGTGCGTTTGGCATTTTAGGCCGTTGCCGTGGAAGTCAAACACGATGATAAATTGACGGAAGATGAAGGTGTATATATTCAAGCAGCATTATTGTACACTTCTTGCAGTGGAATCAGGAGATTGCGTATTATTAATCTTAGTTTAAAAACTTCATCTCAAATGGCTGAGTTATACCGGGCATGTGATTTAGACGCGATCATAAATTACTTCTCTAAACTAGGTAAGCTGAAGCAATATTATACCATTAAGAATTTTTATATCAATTAACTAATATTGATTTTCCTCTCAGGTGTCTTCAAACTAATTGAATCAACTCCAAAAACTGTAAAGGAGAGTTTAATCTCGAGATGTGCGAACATGCTGGCTGCATATCGAAAACACTGTGCTTCTCCCTCTAATGCTGGTCAATTAATATTACCAGAATGTATGAAATTGCTCCCACTTTACATTAACTCGTTACTGAAAAGTGACGCATTATGTGGAGGTACAGTAATGTTTTTTCCGTGTTTACTACGAACATTAAGATAAAAAGTACCATCGCAAGTTTTTGTTTGCAGGTGCTGATATGACTATTGATGATAGGTCTTTCGTTATGCAAGCAGTTGCGACTATGCCAATTTCAATATCAGTTGTATATGTCTATCCAAGATTACTCCCTTTGCATGACGTTGACCCGCAAGATACAGAGGTACCACAAATGTTGCGTTGTTCTATTGATAAATTCACGGATGACGGCGCGTACTTACTCGGTACGAAATACTATTTTATTGTAAACTATGTAATTCTCTAAATTATATTGACAATTAATTTCGTTCCTCAGAAAACAGTATCCACATGTTCCTGTGGCTAGGCCTGGCACTTTCTCCACAATGGGTACAGGCAGTGTTCGGAGTCCCATCAGTAGTTCAAGTTAACACAGATAACACCGCACTGCCAGTATTAGATACTCCACTAAATAAACGAATTAACGATATCATTAGCCGCGTACGTATGGAAAGGCATCGTTGTATGAGGGTAAGTAAATTACAAAAGTATGAATTGCGTTAAAGATTTCCTACAGAACTGACGATCTATTAAAACCTTCCAGTTAACTGTAGTGAGGCAACGCGAAAAACTTGAAGTGGTCTTACGTCATTTCTTAATTGAGGATAGAGGAAACGACGGGGGTCCGAGTTACGTTGATTTCCTTTGCCATATGCACAAAGAAATAAGGACACTCCTTAGCCAATAAAATGAATCTTAAAGCAATCAGTTACCTTATGTTGAAATCCTAGCTTGCTACGTGTTTGTAGCTGTCGTCACGTTATGTTTGAGGATCAATTAGATTACTTAAATCAAGATTCGGAGCTCAAAGGAAATGGAACTAACATACCTACATTTATAACACAAAACCTATCCGGAGGGCAATGAACTCTATGAAGTAAACTAAACGAACTAATCATTCCGTGGGAAGGAACGCATGTAACAAGAATCATCTGGATACACTCGTGCAGTGATTTATACACAACTTGCGAACGTAAAGTTGTATTATTATATTTTATTTTAACTAGCTCATTAATGTTATTATGCTAAATTAAATAATAAAATGTATTAAATCATTATAAATTTATATATTAAAAATGATATCTTGCGTTAATTGAATAATACTTCCGCAATGAAAAACTATGTATATGTCAATGTTATTTTAGAACATTATATTTTATAAACTCAAATCTGTTTTATATTGAATGCACACTAAATATAGCACGCTTAACATCGATTTTAATATATTTTAATTTCTGCTTTTAAATATATCTGTGATTCTTGAGGAATAAATGACTTATCAATGGAAGGTGTAATACAAATATTGTTAGTCGATAAACTGATATTCAAATTTTTGCGCGTGACAAGTGAAATGTATAATTTGAAATAAAATATCTATTTTACCCGCCCCGTATGCATTCTTCACGCAAGATGCCACTACGTGGCGCATTAGTAGCTCGCGACACGTGGTGACTGTTTACGAAGACAAGTCCTCGGAATTTTGAATATACTGCTGGTAAGAGTTAATCAACCCTTCGCGGAGATAATTACTTTAAAATTTCATGGCAAGCATTCCTTATCTTGTTTGTTAGAAAACAATGTTACGTCGGCTGTGCTCGATGTACGAATTACGTGAGAATAATATTCCATCGATCTGTATTCAACATATGAATGAAAGAGATAACTTCTATCGTCAATAAACAAGCAATATACTTATCAAATCAATTTAGAATCAATGTTTCTTGCATTATTACGACGAAGCCATCTCTTTCAATAATTTTATGCAGTTCTTTTATTCAGTTTTGAACGCACGTTTGTCTGTTTCGAAGGGGGTTGTTTTCACTGGCAAGTGTGTGACAACGTGACGTCATGCATGGTGCGATCGACCAATCGGAGGTGGCGTTCTCTCGATTACATAGTCAGTCAGTCCTCCGGCTGCTAGGCTCAGCGCGACGCCATATTGCCTGTGGCCGAGTGGTGGCGGTCTGTGTTTATATTCGTTTCGTTTTACCACGTTTCGACAGGCCACCGGGAGGTCTCGCGAGTGACGTGCCGAACCGTGTACATGCCTGTCTGCGCCGCCCGTGAAACAGGTCGTCGTCAATTCGCGTGACAATAGTGAGCCGTGCGCGATCGTGGAGTACCTAAGTGACACGCCGTGCTTGTGCTACACGACTCACTTGTTCCCGTTTCTTCACCCCTCCGCGAATCGGTGCCGTTTACGCGTTTCTTCGTCGCCGTCGTCGTCGTGGTCGCCACCCCTCCTCGTTTGCGGTGTTTCGCTCCGACAGTGCGCCAGGATTTACTCGTCGACAGAATCAAGATGCCAGTCCGTAAGCAAGGTGGTAAGCTCTCCTATTATATTGAAACAAAAGACACCCCTGTCGATCCGTCGATTCAGGGTGAAATCCAAAATCGTCCAGTGGGAGGGGCGAATACGTACTCGGGTTATTCGGTCAGCTGTCATCTGGCTGTCAGTTGCATGCCTCTTTAATCACTATGTTCTCTATCTCTTTCTCTACTTTACCCCTTTTATCAAACCTATTGAGTTTCGCTCGCGATGATTTTAACGAGACGAGATAAAATGCGGCATAAATTACGATGGGAACGTTTTAAGGACGCAGTTGCTGCTACGCTGCCTCCGTTGTTATTGTTAGTTTTTCTAGCCCGACTGTGTGCGAGTTGCGCACAACGCTCGACCTTGAATTGCATACATGATCGAGAGAGGTCGCGTGTTTGAGGAAAACGTGATATTACTTTTCGCATAATCGCGTATAATTATCAAAGGGATGGAAATGATTGCGAATACTTGTTGGAGTTTAGACCACGTGCAATGCTGCCTGGGTCCGTGGTACTCTTTCCGTATTTGTTTTACAAACGACGCCACGTATAGGCGGACTAGGTCATTATTAAAGTCGATCAACCTCGTGGTTCACTTAATTTTATCTCGTCGTTCGCTGTTTCGCACAACTACCCTGATTGTTGTACTCTAATTTCTACACTCGTCATGCGATCGTATTATGAGTTTTACCGCGATTGCAAAATGGGGGAATTATTAAAAGTATTAGAAGGATCGATGGCCCAGGCGCGTGATTTTCGTCGAATCGATGTAGGCCACTATAGAATGTGTTGCAATAATCACACGGCTGTTAGTTGTCGGTGTTTGGATTTGGTCCAAGAAAACGCAATAATTTCAGCTCTGCCGGGGTACTTTTGCCGCGGTTATGCGACGCGGCAGGTATTCACGGCCATGGGACATTTCTTCTGATTCCTCCTTTTTAATCTGTACTTTCTTTACGATTATCCGATTTGTTTTCACTTCATTAAAGCTGCTTTTGCTTTTATGAACTATTCATGATAACAGGCTCGAGTCTCTTGCTTGTATGCTTTAACCACGTATAATGACCTGTACTAACTCAAAGCATTCTTCTTCTTGGTATTTATGTGGCATGTAAAATATTCAATAGAGAAGCAAACACGCAACGTAGTGAACGTTTTCATGGAATGAAGCAATGAACATGTTTTCGTGTTAACAAACGCAGAGCAAATTTCATGGTTGGAAGAATTCTTATCGCAATTCTGAATGCTCGTTCTTTTGTTGAAATGCGATGAAAATGAGGAATATACTCTCCTGCAGTATGTGTCACACACACGGCACCTCTCTGTTCTATGCATCGATCGATAGAAAGAATTTCAGAAACACGTCCTATCTATGAAACGAATTTGTCTTATCGATGGAAACATTTACAGATCGCATCGTTCTCATAGTTTTCCATACACTTTTTGAATTGAAATAGCGCAGTTGTTTGCCTTTCGAGTAAACAAATAATTGTTGCTTTTACTTAAAAACACGTAACATGAAAATTCGAAGTTCGGTTCTATAACCAAGAGAATAATAGCTAGAAAATCGATGACTGGAGAGTATCTATACGTTCCGGTATCACCCGAATTTAAGTATTCAAAAGGCGTTCACGTCGTCGACCTTTCGAATGCTCAGGTCTTTCGCACGTTTCAGCATCTCGTACCTACATTTCATCCGAATGGCCCAATAGTCGAGCGTTCTCACAATGCGCCTTTGAAATTAGTATCATTATCATTTTTATCCATCACGGTGTAATCGCGTACAACGGGCCATGGAATTTTCATAATCCCGTGTATCCGATACATGTATCCGCGACCCGGTTTGCTACTCGCGAAGTAAATGTCTTGCACAAACGTCTTAATTACATGGGGACCACGTTATAAAAAACATTCCGGGCGGCACGGTCCGTTCAATGGCTGCAATTAAATTCGTCCCTAATTATCTCCCTTTTGACGTTACTTAAAAATCGTCGCGACGATTTCTTTCGCATTCGGCGTGATTTCTCGTTTGACCGACTTTGCGGGCCGTGGAAAAAGAATTTTCGTGTCTCCTCTCAGTCCGGTTGCGCAAGACGATACCAGCGTGCCGAGTGCCAGCCAACGAAGCCGATAGTTTTCAATTTCTGCGGTGCAGGCGCTTCGTAGGCAAAGTCGAGAAGGAGAGAGTCAAGGATGGTTTATGGGTCGGTGATTCGCTTACCCCGGCAGGCCGCGAAGCTTTTATGCATGCCAATGTATGTACATTTTATATTCCTCCGGCCACAGTTTTCTATCCGCGATGCCACGCTTTCAACGCCGCGGCGCGACTCTTTGTTGGTGAACGTGCTCGAAACCCGGGAAAAGGGTCAAAGGGACGCCGATTAGGACTCCGGATTCATTCTTAATTATCATTGCCAAAAAATATCGTAATTTGAAGAATTGTTAATTGCATTGAACAGGGAATTAGTTATGAATCATCTCACGTATCTAGAATAATGATTTTATTCGCATTTCCCTATAGCACGTATGTCAATGATCTTTGAAAATATTTTAAGTGTCCACTCCTTGCATAAAATTCAAATGAACGGGGAAAGGGTTCGCTTCAGCACTGGAAATACATTCTACGACGCGTTTCAATATATATTATGCTCGCTCTGTATCTCATGCAATCGCATAATGCGAAACCAAATACATATGAATGTGCACGTTCACGTTTCAAAGAAAATATTTTATTCAGTGTTTCCCCTATTGTTTGATGCAAATGCTTATTTATATTCCGTATAATTCGCTGTCAATTAGTTTATCATCTTCGCGGCTGTAATCCTTTGATAGGATATCGTTGTAATATGTGTAATGCATATTACGGATCGAACGGGAGCAACTTTAAAAATAACGATACACTCCTACGCGAGATAAAACCGTCCATGCGTTAATACACGATCCCGAGGTTCCATTTTTTAACGTTTCCACGTTTACCGGCGCCGCGTGCATATTTTTAATTTATTTCCTCGTAGCTTTTCGCGAGCGGCCGCCGCCCGCCCGCCCGAACACGTGGCTCATTTATGGGTGCCGCTTTGCCGCAATTTTTACTCTGTAAATTCGTACGAAGCTACACGGTGTGCAAGTACATGTACGCCGTGATATATGCGGAACGTAGACGATATAGGACGAAAGGGGAGAGCAGAGCGTGACTGATAATGAGAGCAATGAATAGGAAGTGGGCCGTGGGCTTATGTACATACTTAGTTACTCTTCCCGCAGGGTTGCGCTATCTCTCTTTACCATGTGAGACCATTTACCTGTGCACTTCAGTTCACTCGAATGACATTTCAAATGGCATATTGCATTTTGTTGAAATTTACTTCCTTAACTGATTCTAATTAAAAAATTTTCATAAACAGAGAGCGAGAACGAATTGTGGGAAGTTTATTCGGTTGAGATTAAAAATTCAGTTTGCTGACTGGAAATTGGAGTCTTACTCCGTGCGCTTGATTATTATTTAATGATAGTTTTACTCCCGTGGCTCACCGGTAGCCGGCGTCCAACGTGTTAAGCGTCTTCAATTATTTAAATGTTTTCCAGAAAGTTGCTCGGTTTCTTTTTACTCCAATTTGTTTGGTCGATTCTCCGAGCCAGACTCGGTGAACTTCGAATCGATAGACCAGAGATACGATCTTGTACGGCAGAAAAGATAACAGGGGCGCGTTGCAATCGATGAGAGTAGAAGAGGTCGGACA